CAGATTGTAATTACGCGATAATTTGCACTAGTGCAAATTATCAGATAATTGCATACTAACTGGTGCGAAAACTGGTGTTTTTGATTTATGAAATTCTCTCATTAAATACAACTCGTGCAATGGAAATATATTTATAATTTTCGACAAATTTGCACTCATGCGTTTTTAACTGAAAAAGGCAAAGGCACTCGTGCACTACGTGCACTCGTACTCTTTTTCAACTAAAAATGCATTCGGGCAAATTTCCCAAAAATTATCAATAATTTCCATTGCACTAGTTATATTACTATTGATAATTTGGTTGCATTAATTTTTTATATAAGTGTTAGGTAGTGCTATGGTGGGATGCCGAATAGGAGTGCTAATTTTTGCTTTAGGGGTGCTTAGCACCCCCCTAGTTGCGCCTATGACAGCAGTACATAATTTTTATTTTAATACAAATATTGAGTTTCAAATTAACAAAATAAATTCCAAAAAACAGTTTTTTAACCCGCAACAGACCAAAATAAAAAGTATGAGCCAATTAAATCACTCACTGGCATTTGCTACTTGTCGCAACAGCAAGAGATGCAAAGTTTCTTATTAACAAGCCCAAAATTGTGCGCCTCAATGCCTATAAAAATTCGCTATCGTCTCACCTACAGTTGAAGGGTTGTGGCGGGGAGTGCCATGGCATCGCTTCGACGTTCTTTGACGCACATGAGGCCAAAATTTTTGGGATTACTATTTTATTTTTATGCTGTCGGGCAACGATTTGAGCGCCTATAAGGATAAATAGGTAGAAGCGCGCGCTAAATTCAAGAAATGGTATTATACTTTAATGAAAATTCGATGTTTTGATACTTTTAATGATTGAAAATAGTTGAAAAACATTAAATATTTAGTAAATATCATTTCAAAATTTTACATCATTATTGTAATTTTTACATGTGAGGCCCGGCCTCAGTTGCTTTATACGACGAGCAGCCACTGCCCTGTATATCTTTTCACAAATGAGTAACAAATAAATTATTGTATGTACAGGGTTATTATTGGTTATAAATGTCAACCCCTCAACCTTTTTTATTTGACATTTCAGAAAGAAGTGCCCCAAATAAAAGTTTTATTGTTGAAATTAAATTTAAAAAAAAAACTGACTTCCACATATACAGGCTGTTTCAGAAAAGCTGGTCCAACTTTCTTATTTATAGCGTTTCCGATTGGTAGATTTAGTGCGCACTGAGTGTATTTGCCTCCTTTTAATCGACCTGTAAAGGCAAAAGACAGCAATAGAAAAAATTGCACTAGTTCCGCACTAGATCTACCAATCGGAAACGCCATTAGATGGAATATTCCCTATACCTAAGTTCAACTGTTTTAGAAATATTGACAGTTGAAAATTGACTTTTTTGCAACTTTGACAGGCTGTAAAACCTAAATGGTTCATTTAAGATTAAAACGGATCTCACATTCTTGTCTTAGATTTTCATAATCATTTGACACCATCTCTAGATTCAACCTGAGATTAAATTTAATTGGAATTTTCCGAGAAATTTTCAATCATGGATTAGATTCAAAGTTGGTGTCAAATGATAGCTTATGAAAATCCAAGATAAGAATGTGAAATCGGTTTTGATGTAAAATCACGAGAATTTCAAAAATAACAGAAATTTGAAAAACTTACGGGAATTATCATTATTGAAAAATAAAATAAAGAAATTACGGGAATGAAAATCCAAGATAAGAATTTGAAATCGGTTTTGATATAAAATGGACCTGTCTCGCATAAATAGAAAAAGATAGCTTAATTGTAATAAATACAAGTTGGAAAGTAATAAAATATGACATGCGCGCGCAACTAGTGGGTTGCAGTGTAGCCAGTTTGTATTGTTGCAGAACAAATGTAGACAATAATACAAATCGAGCAATATACCAATAAAAAAATGATTTTTTACAACGCTTATGTTAGACAAAAGAAGAGCTTTAAAGTGTACAGGGGGTGTTTGTTTATAACTGGAATACTGGAGTAACTTTTTTATTATTTAAAATAAAGGACATGTTTAAATTGGAAAATTACTTTGTAAATTGCAACGATCTTAATCACTACAACGATATTTTTTTTCTTGCCATAGGTATACAGGGCAGGGTGCGCTAAAAGACTCTTTTTTTTTTTTAATGGAACGCCCTGTATATTTTTTGATTTTTGAAATTCTCTGAAAATTAGCTTCACAAAAATATCAAACACTATTTGGATAAAAAATTATAAAGGCCGTTCCATTAAAAAAAAAATCCTTTTTGGGCGCACCCTGTATACCTATGACGACAAAAAAATATCGTTGAATCGCTTGAGGTTGCAATTTACCAAGAAATTTTCTAATTTAAACATGCCCTTTATTTTCAATAATAAGAAAGTTACTGAGTGTTCCAGTTATAAACAAACACCAAGTACAGTCGTGAGCATTGAAAGTGGGACACTCGATTTTTCTTATTGTAAAACGCTCACTAGCTATACCTACGGCAATGAGAGGAATTGTCATATTTGACAAAAAATCCATTGTAGAGAAAAGACTGATTTACCCAAAACAGCAAAAAATGACAAGATCTCTGTCAGTCGAATGTCCCACTTTTAATGCTCACGACTGTATGTTAACATCGTTTGCACTTTGATTTTGATAAATGTTTCATTCGGCAACATCGCACAATGAAAGTGCAAAAGAATATGTCAAGTATAATCTAACATACTTTTAAAAAACACTGGGGTGAGTTCAGAATACGTAAAGTATTAGTTTGCTCTTTGTCGAATTACACATTACAAAGAAAGAAGGAACGATTAATTCTGAACTGGCCCCTGAATAAGAATATGACGCAAGCCCGTAACAATTTCGCTTCTCATTGGACGCTCACCTGCAATCTACGAGTTGCGCGCACAGTCCAGTCAAGGTAAAAAAAGATAGGTCTATTAACCGTAGGTTTTAAAGCCTGTCAAAGATAAAAAAAGTCAATATTTCCAAAACAGTTGAACTTATGTATATGTATATATATATATCACATGAAATCTGCTCAGAATTTTATGTACACTTTATTTTTTTCCAAGATAGATTTTGACATTGAAAACTTTGAAACATAAACAATAACGCTTGACCCTAATTGGTTGCAAAATGAGGTGTTTCTGCAGGTTGATATCAGTTTTACTATAGCGACCAATAAGCGGCATTAGCGGCATTGTTTATGTTTCAAAGTTATAGATATACAATACAATAGAATCCGAATATTCAATAATATACAGGGTATTCAATTCAAAATAAGAAAGTTGGACTACCAGCATCGGGATCACGAAGTTCGATTCGATTATATCGAGTCAAACGATGATCGACTCGAGTGGATTGTTCACGAAACTCGATCGAGTTTATTCGATTGTTGCTAACGTTACGCTCTTTGAAAATTGAAGGCGATCTCGCTTTTTTGGTTATGGAAATATTGGTTATGTGTTTTGTAAAGTGTTATTCGGTAAGACAATTTATTGGATACCTACGTACCTAAATGACAAATTTTGCTGATCATGTCAAGCTAGGTTCAGTTTTGTCACTGGAAAAGTTAGGGCAAATTTTTTTCATGTATAATATCACAAGAGAAAATAATTTGTCGGCAAAATTTTCGAAAGGTATGAAAGTTTAATGCTTGGCAATTTCGCGTATGACATTTTTGACGAAACGTGCGTTTTTATTCTCATCGAGTTTTCCTGATGAATTCCATCACCGATAAGCGCCGATGAGCAGTACGTCATCAAAATTCATCGCAATTTTGTTGATGAAATGAATCAACTAAAAAACACTTCGATGGATTTTGACACTTGAATTGATACTTTTGGCATTGATTTGTGTTGTTTGATGTGGCAAACTTATTATTTTTTTATTTGTTTAAAAAACCGTAGCCATACAATGATTGGAAGTCTAGTGTTAGTTGAGAATAATTGTGAGCTCTTCATCATCATCAAGTGATGAGTCTAGAAGTTCTTCAGATGAAATAGTTTTACTTGAATTGTAGAAAACACTCGAGAAAACATAAAAAAATACAAAATTATATTTCTTCTGTATTTCTTTGCATAGTGATTTAGATGTTAAGTCTCATTTTAGACTTACTAGGACTGTAGTGGAGGTGAGATATTAGAAATAAAATTATCTCTGAGACAGTTAGCTGAGCTTTAAGACCTCACAAATTAGTTTGATTTGATATTTCAGATATATTTCTCACTTGTCACAAAGTTAGGTAATTTGGCGCTCTTATGCTCAGAACTCTTAGGTTTGGTATGGTCTCGGTTTTCACACCCTTCAGATCACTTGAACATGCCCTTTTTCCTTTTTTTTTTTGTTAAGGTCTTCGCAAATATTCACATAATAAATATAAATGCAAAACAAAACGATTCCAGTCGGCCATCAACAACCGTCAACATAATTTTGGGGTTACATTTTACGTTATAATTCATCAGTTCATCCTAAATGATTATGTGCGTTTTTATTCTCATCGGTGGATTCACCGATGAGTTAGCTATCTTTGTTTAGTGAATGGAAAATGACAATGACCGACATAGAATGGTGGATCCATCGGTAAAATTTGATGAGAATAAAAACGCAGGGAACCTCGATGTATTCGATGGCTAATCGTACTTTCACCGATAAGTGTAGGATGAGAATAAAAACAGACCGATGAAATCCATCGATGTTTTACTGATGAGAATAAAAACAGCCAATTGACATTTTCGCTTAATCGATGAGCACATCGGTGAGAATGAAAACGCACGTAAAATCACGAGCCGTCAGGCGAGTGATTTTATCAAAAATGTCACGAGCGAAATTGCAGAAAAGCAACAAATTTGAATAAAACCTTGAGAACAATTTTGCCTACACAATTTTTTCTCGAGTGATAGGTCATGACTATTTCACGTAAGATTTTGAAAATAAATAGAATGCAAAAATATGAATAAAAACTTCAAATTAAAAATATCAGTTTGACAATGTCAAAAAATGGTCTCTGAAATACCATGTTGCTGGTATTGTCCAGGTATTGTTTGCCCAGCGGATCTGAGTCTACGAAAGGAATTCGAACGTAAATGTGCCATGTTGTCACGTTTAATTATAAAAAAGCGAAATTACTAGGCATGAGGTATAGTTAATTTGAAAATCCATTTTTTGATAACAAAAAATTGATAACAATAATAAAACGCTAAATATTTTAACGTGGCTATTAAGCCTATCCTTATTTTATTTCTGATTTCTTCAGTTTGGTCTATTGGAAAAAATAAACATTTTCTAAAGATACCATCAGCTTTTGACAATTTGGCAAGCATCCGTCCTGGATGAACCTGATTGGTGGAGTTTTTGACAGGATCGCCGTTGTCATGGGGAACCATACCGTTGTCAATGAGCCAACGTCACCTTACGTCTCGCTATTAGGCAGGGCTTACGTCATTTTATCCACCCATCTTGGAATATCGATTTATATTGACATATCCAGTGGCGGAGATTTGGTCATTGCTGATTTTCGTGTACGAGTTGCAATACGATAACACTTCCAAAAAGTTCCGCACGCAGCTGGGTATTTTATGAATGAAATCAGCCATTTTTTTTTTACAATTGCATTCCCCTTACCGTTGCCCCGTAGACACAGACTCGCTGGGCAGACATTAGCAATATTGTCAGGTGAATACCGAATTTATTGTCGAATGTGATACCACAAGAGGTTTCAGGATTACCAGATAATACTTTCACCTGTCACAAAACGCGTTACGCAACAACACCACGACTCCGAAGGAGGAGTGGTGTTGCTGGTAATACGTTGAATGTCGGGTAAAAGTATTAGGTAATCCTGAAACTTCGAGTGGTATTCAAAAGGTTATACAACGAACTAAACTTTGATACTCTATTAATGTTCATTATTATTAATAGTAAAGGAACAATATTGCCACCAAGCGCGATAATCCCAAAAGGCTTGTCACTTCTTAAGCCTCTCGTGTCATATGGGAATAATGTACAGGGTATTTGATTATATTTTGCACCATACCTACAGCCTTTACTATTTAAGATAGAAATTTTTTTTTTTTCTATATGTTCTGATAACGTTATCAGAAAAAACAAACTCGCATCGGAAAATGGAGAAACGTAAGCAACTTCGACTTTTTTTAATGGAACACCCTGTATATTATGCGATAAAATGAAAGATCTATTCTTTCGGATTCCAAATATATATATATATATTGATAATATTTGAGTGAACAATTTTTGACATATCTCAGGTTAAATTATAAAGAATTTGCAGAGAAGTTCCATAAGAATCTCTATCTTTATAAAATTTCCATGCAATTTAGTTAAGTTTAAGCTGAGATACGTCAAAAATGGCTCACGCAAATGTGATGAACATATATATATTTGTAATCAGGAAGAAAAGGTCTATCATTTTATCGCAAAATATACAGGGTGTTCCATTTAAAAAAGTCGAAGTTGTCTACGTTTCTCCATTTTCCGATGCGATTTTGTTTTTTCTGATAATATTATCAGAAAATATAGAAAAAAACTGTCAAGTTTTGTATTTGAAATTTTTTTCTATCTTAAATAGTAAAGGCTGTAGGTATGGTGCAAAATATAATCAAATACCCTGTACAATGAGTTGTATAACCGGTGTAATACACTCTAGTGAAATAGTCGCTGTAATAATGACAAAAACACCAGTCCTTATGGGATTTTTTGAGTATGAATTAAATTGTCAATTTAAATTTGCTTATTACCTATCCTTTTTTTTGGCCAAAACATTGTAAAATTGACCTTGTCAATTTTTTTGCGTTGAATACTATTATTGTATTGAACTTGCGATTACTCATTATTAGTTCATACGAGGGTAGTTGAATTAAATTAATATATAGGTAACACTTTTACAGTGTTTTTTTATTTAAATTAATGTTAAAAGATAATTTTATTTGTTTATTGGGATTGAAAAAATGCATTAACTGCATTATGGTCTGGTTCCCTTGATTTTGCTAAATTTCCAAAAATTCAAAAAATTCTAGATTGTTACTACGTTATGGTACGCATTCAGTTTTTATGATACTTCCTTCATTTTTTCATTCTATTCAATTTTCCTCTCTTGAGTTTTTTCGATAGAATGTACCGTTTTTGACTTATTCACGATTTTTTCCGAAAAGTGCCGAAATTCAAGATGGCGGATTGTTTTTTCTAATGACGCAACAACCGGACGAATGGGGACTTTTGTTATGTTTACTAGGAGTACTAACGCTAACTATTTTTGATAGTTGCAGCTTTATAAAAATTTTTGCAGATCCAAAATTATTTGCACTGGCCTATTAACAAAAAAATTATCTAGATCAGGAGAAGTTCACTTAAATTGAACCCAAATCGATCTAATCTGGGTCAATCGAATTCACCTTATATAGAGATACGTGGTATTAATTCAATATCGGTCCAGCCGTTCTTGAATTCAAAAAATAATAAAGTTACGTCGGTTGAATGGAAGCCTAAATAAATGAAATATGGCAACGTTGTTTCATGCTGTCAAAAAAAGTTGGGTTGTGTTGTTATGTAATGTGAATGAGTTTGTTTACAATTAAATTAATAATTAATTCAAAATTAATTTCTTTTTCCGAGATGCGTAACCTATCCACAAACCTTCCTTGGGATGGCCATAACAACCTACCAAAGTTTCATCGTAATCGGATAAGTGGTTTTGGAGCGCATATCCGGATACCCCGTGAACTTTGATTTTTATATATATAGATAATGAGGTTAAAATAGATATCGTTCAAGATACCCTCTCTTCTTAATTCTAGATAACAGAAATTTCTCAACATATCAGTGTATACAGTTCATCAATGAAAAATGGTCTGTATTTTTTCTCAACAGAGATTGCACACCCAACTGTTACTTGTGGGGTATGTCGCTATTTTCACTGGAACTCGTTAAATTCTCTTGGAAAATGTATTTTAATTTAGTTGATATCTAACTTGATTAGTGATGTAAAATGCTCGAGCAAGTATTTTAGGAGAACGTTCTCCGAGCAGGATCGAGAATTAACGAGAATAAACGAGCAAAAACGAGCAGGACCCGAGAATTTATGCTTTTTATCAGAAGCTGAATAAAACAAAACATTTTTCTAAATAAATTCTGATTTTTCTCAAATTTCCCGAAATTCCCAAATTTCTTGTGAAAGTTCTGAATATTCTGAAAATTCTTGATAAATGTGCTGAAAGTTCTCAAACTTCTTAGGAAAATATGCCTACTTTATACATAATTAATCACATAATTTGTGAATTGTGTCATGTTTGATAACAATAATTATTCTAATTTGGGGTTTTCTGTGAAACTTCAACATACAATTATCATTAGGATTCTTTTTTTTTTGATAATAAAATAAAATAGTGATTTTAGTTTGAGTATATTCCAGTACAACGCTACCTTTGCCTCCAAAAAAAAATAACTATTGCTGCTAAGTTGCTTCCTGGTTCTCGGGCTCAATATTCGATATATCTTCGCCTTCAACAGCTTCCATAAATATATCTCTACTCTATGGCGTCATGTGATTTTATTGGTTAGGATCGTGCTTGAGAACGTGCTGAATATTCTCTATCATGCTCATTGTGCTCCGAAGGTAATATTCAGCATGAACCTTTTTTTCGTGCGCGAACGTTCGCGAATGTTCTCGAAAGCACAATCAGAACGTTCCCTTGTTCACATCACTAAACTTGATAGATATTTAGAAAATTGTTTACCATAGTGATAGCAAGTACCTACCTACAACATGAAGTTGCACGCTATTGCAAAAATAACAGGATTTCGATTTCAATTTTTTAGTATACCTAAAACTTTAAGTTTCAAGGGTGATGGTTATGATGCATGGATACCTTTAACATAATTTTTTTTTTGACGTTGTGATACACAGGATGATCCATTGGAAATAGTGGAGAATTTCGATGGCGAAAAACGATTTTTTTTTTACTCGCCCTGTATAAGAGGCAAAAAAAAAATAATAATGACATTAAATGACAAAGTATTTTTTGAATTTCAGGGTTATAAAACAGAAAGCCGAGTTGCCAGAACGTGTAAAATATCTGAGTAAATTCAATTTCAAAATATTTTTCCAAATTAATTTAAAAAAAAAATGGGTTCTCAGTAAAATTATTAAATTTATTTGAAATAAAATAAATCCAACGTAACCATAACATAAGCTTAACAGCATAAATATGTTTTGGCAGTAACTTTTTTTTCGGGTTTGGTTCAACAAAAATATTGGTTGCTGGTTGTAAGAAATGGCTTTACATCTATATTTAAACTATACCTACCCCAAATGTATCTGGTAGTTGGGCTGCAATTATTATTCCTTGAAGAACCTCTGGTTTGCTTTTCTCGAGATAGCCGTAACATTTTATTATTTCCTATTTCCCTTATTTTCTCTTGATAAATTATTTTGGGCATCTTGAATATGAAATAAATTTGACAATGCCGAATTTTGAAAAATGTCAATGGATTTTGCAGGTATGCAGAATACCGTTTATATATTGCACTATTGAAAAATATATTGACAAATGTGTCAAATTTGATTGGCCAGATAGGCCAAAGAATTTTAATACTGCGATACTTACGAAATTATGTGAAACACACCTAAAACTGTCTGGAATTTGACATATACTGTCATTATTATACGAGGGTCAACCTGTCAAATTTCCATGGATAATGCTACGCCAATAATATCTGAAAGGCAAATATACGTTATTTTTTTTCTGTGACCGTACTTATACTTTTATGCACTTCAGGGATTAAAAGTGCCCTTTTAATACCTGTTTTAAGGGAGTAAAGTGGGTCTGTTAATCCCCGGGCGGGATAAAAGTACCGTTTTATTCCCTATTTTACTTAATCCCTGGGAAATAAAGTTAAGTGCATAAAATAGTGTATACACCTCAGGATTAAAGTGTTTTTCAATACCTCGATAAATTATATATAAGGTACCTGACCCAAATAAGACCGTGTACCTAATAAGGCCAATGCCCCTTATCCCATCTTCAAAAATTACAATATTATTAAAAAAGATATCTATAATACAAATCAAAAATTATTGTGAGGATTCCTAGTAACTTGTTATATGTCGAAAAATGGCCAACCACAGATTTCATATGTCACGTTATAACTTTGAGGCTGGAACCTAATTCATTCATGTTCATAAAGTGAATGAAGCGAATGTAATTTTTACATGGACATTTATGTATTGAGAAAGCTACAGAGTAAGTACAAAATAATATCTTTGCTAGATTTCTAGTAACAGATTTTTTTTTTATCAATGTAACATGTTCCTAATAAGGCCACATGAAAAATGTTCAATTGGCCTCACATCACAGTGTTTTTTTTTTTAAGAAGGTGTCATATTATTACTTAAGTGATGTGTTTTAGAGCGCCTGGCCTGGAGTCTAACCAAGCAAGAAAAGCTGCGGTTCATTGTTCATTTGTCCTAGTTGTATGTAGATCTATTTGGATCACCATCCCAGGACTTAAAATTATTGTTTTTTTTTTTAGAATGCAGCAAACGTTAAAGTTCAATTTTGGGTACTTTTTGTCAAAAAATTATATTTTTATAAATGATTGTATTTATTTTAAACATTTTTTATTGGTGGCCTTATTAGGAGCATAGTGATCCAAATAAGGCCAATGGTAAGTGTCTTTGTTTTACGCAAAAACCACCACTCACATGTAAAAATAAATAAATTGGAGTTAATGTTCAATAAAAGCGTAACACTTCACATAATATAAGCTCGTGATTATTGTTGGGTTTGGTGGATAGTGTTCGGAAAAAAATAAAACTTCTTAACAGAGCCTTATTTGGGACAGGTACCTTGTTCCATTTAATCCCCGGGAAATGAAGTAAAAATTTAATCCCTTGGGAAATAAAGTGAAATTTAATCCCATTAACAGGGATTAAAAGACCCACTTTACAAGGATTGAAAGGGTACTTTTAATCCCTAAAGTGCATAAATACCTATTACCGCATAATGTGCGGAATATTAGATCAAGTGTTTCAGTTCATCTGAAAATAAATTAGATATATTCACAAAACCCTTGGGTAAAGAAAAGTTTCAGTATTTTAGATATAAGTTACTATTTGTTTAGTTGTAAATTTCAGCTTATTTTATTTTCGCAATTTAAAATGCATTTACTTTCTTTGTGTTTTTATTGTTAATTTGTTGTTGTACTATAATTATTTCTGAGTTATATATTGTATGTTGTGAAATCTAAAGCGTATTCAAATTAAGAGGAGAGAGGGGGTGTTAGATTGTTAGATATTTATAAACATTGTAATAAATATACTCCTGGACAAAATTATCGCACCACTGCTTATGGTGCTTATGTGCAGTGGTGGTGCGATAATTTTGTCCAGGAGTATAGTTGTGCAACCATAATCAGGAGTATTTTTGTATTGCCAAAAGTTATGATCCGGTAATCAATTTTTTTTCTAAAATTCGATTACGGTTACTCCTCTTCTTTTCTTGTATTTTTTTTTTGCATATAATTTTAAATGTCTTCATCTATCCATTAAAACAACTGACGGTTTCAGATTTTGATGACTTGGGCAGCGCACCTTCGACTCCCCATTACGCAATTGATGGCAAAACTCCTCTGAGCAATCTGAGTTTTGCAGAACTTCAAAGACACATCCACAATCTTAATTTACAGGTAAGTGCGGATTTAAATTATTTGATCATTGGAAATAATCAAGTTTTTTATATTTCCGATAAATAATTACACTTCACTATAACTTATATTGATCAAAATTTGTAGTTAAAACAAAAGGATATGTTAATAGAAAGTTATCAAAAAGACATGGAAAAAATGAAACAAGTAACCCGGTCAATTATAGAATCTGGAGATGCTAAAACCAATGCATCGTCGGTAATGATTGACACTACAGCAGTTAGAGAGAGTTCCGATTATTTCAATTCGTATTCCCATTTCGGAATACATCATGAGATGCTTAATGTAAGTATATTGTATGTTAAATGTGTACATTTTGAATTTGGCTCTATATCACTGTTACCAGGTCAAAAAAATTAAAATCGCCAGAAATTGGAATGAAAAATCACCAGATTTAAAAAAAAAAATCACCAGAAATATTGAAAGTTGATTTTTCGGGAAAATTCTCGCCTTACGGGCTTATATCAAACCAAGTAGGCTTTGGAAACATGAATGTATTGCAATGTCGGTATTACATAAATTTTAAAATTTTACAATGCCTACTTTGTCCCTTGTCAAACAGTGTTGCCAACTACAACTTATAACAAATATTGTGACAATCATTGAGGCTCGAATTTATACAAAAAAAAGCCCAAGTAGGCCTTGCAAATTTCAAATTTTCTATAACAGTAATTATATAAACATCGGCAACACTGTAAACTAAATGAATAAGAAATAGTAATGGAATAATTACTAATTTCTCAATATAAATATGGAATATCAACAACAACAATTTTGCAATTGTCAGTCATTCATGAAACTTCACAATGCACATGCGTCAGTAGTATTCGACACGTCTCGAGATGTAGAAATGAAATTATAAAATAAGTCGCGTTTTGTCGATATTCTTGATGCACAGAGTGCCAACCATGTAGAATCTTGTCGACTGATAGAATTCTACATGACACAGAGTCCCGCTGCTGGACTGGGATCATGGCAAGTAGAATTCTATTTTCATGACGTCACCCGCGACCTATTTATCGCGTATACTACAGGCGATGATCACTCTTGCTAGGCAGCCTGACGTCATGAAAATAGAATTCTAGTGGAATTCTACTTGTCGTGATCCCAGCCCAGGCCAGGTTTTAATCGATGTCGGTAATACAGATAACTGTAAGCAAAAAATTTATCAAATCAAGTAGGTCTTGGAAACAACCCAGCCATTTTAAATTAACTGTCCAAAACTACAGGGCCTACTTTGAAACGTTAAATTGCGTTAGGGTTACTACACTTTCAAATCAAATCAAATCAAATCAAATAATGCTTTATTGTCCAAGAAAACCTATTGACAAAGCTGACCTTAAACCTAAGAATAACTTAATGATAAAATGAAAAGCCACAAGTCTAGTTTGTTTCAATACTATCATTTTGGTCCTAAAACCCATTATTGAAAAGACAATTAAAATACAATTTATACACCTGAAGAGCAAACTAAGTAGAGTGTGCAACATAAAAATGTGAAAACAGTCATCTTAAAAATAAAGAAATAAGAAAACATAAAATCAGTGCTTGCAACAAAAACAATTCAAATATATGAAAAGATACAAATGCAAAGAACAGTTATAATTAAAACAAATACATACAGAAAATTAATCTTTAAATATCAAATCAAATCAAAATACGCTCCAATGTAAAAGATACAGATCTTATTTACAAGGCTAAGATAATATATAATATATAGAGTATATAAAGATAATTAAAATTAGTCATTTCAATTAAACAATTCCGAATTCTTAATACATACAATCCAAAAGGCAAAAGGAAACACATAGCAGAATATTTAAAAGAAAAAAAAAACAAGAATTCAAAATGTATACAGAACAGACAAACACCTACAGTATTGTTCGTCGATTTTTAACCGACACTTTCCGTATGAGGAGCGAGGGGGTGTTTCATATGGCATAAACAGGTGTGTCGTCAGGTAACCATTGGCGTTCTAATGTAAGGAGCCACCAGCTCACATTCCGTCTGAGTATCAGATTAAAATCGACGGACAATACATACAGTCACATTATCAAAAGTTTATCAAAAAACATCCGCATAAAACTCCTCAAGGGTATAGTAAACTCTGTCAGCCAATATCTTTTTTACTGCCTTTTTAAAGAATCTTAATCTTTTCGACTAGGGTTGCTACATTTTAAATTTTTCTTCCAAAACCTTATAATTTTGTGAATTTTAACAAATCCTTCACTAAAACCAGTTCAGAAAAAATGTATTTCTATCTCTTTTTTATATAAACTAGTGAAAAAAGACACGAATACACTCAGTGCACACTAATGCCGTTGAAAATAATGCAAATTGAATAAAACAATTAAGCAAAAATAGAGCTTCAGCTTCAAAAGACGTAATTTTAATGAAAAAAAAAATCGTAAGTTTGACAGCAACACTTCGCAGGCCCATAGGGTCGGGGTCTTTTTAATTTACGAGCGAAGGGCCAGGGTCTATAGTTCATACCAAATAAACTTATAGTTGGGTTGTCAAGCAAGACCGGCACAGCGTTGCCGTCTCTTGCATATTTTCCTTTGGTCAAAATATTTTCAGAAAAAATAATGGATTATATTATAATATAATGCAAACATTTATTACTTGAATTATAAACATTGTTTCAAAGCTTGGTTTAATAGATATTTAATAACAACTCATTTGTCAATCATCACATAAAATATAATCAGTACCCATTTTATTTACAGCCACTATACTATACTATACTATAAATAATCAAATATTATGAATATTTGAACCATCAAAAATATTTTCAATTATTCTGGATCACTGAAATTGCTAGAATCGCTAGAGTCTTCATCAACATTGATAAAAAGTGGAAGAACCTCTTGCCTGTCCATTACTTGTTCCCTGTTATACCACTCGTCAATTATTTCCACATTTCAGGGGTAATAGTTTCCAGTGCCTCTCGCCACATTTTTGAACAAGCATCTTAAGTATAACCATCTCTGCCAATATGTCGGTTATAATAGTTTTTTGCAATTCCCCAAATAAATTCAATCGGGTTAAAAGTGCAGTGGCATGGAGGTAGTCGTAAAACTTTATATCCATACTGTTCTGCCAAGTCATCTACCACATACTTTTTTGTTGGTTTATTCCTGAAAAATCAATACTTGAAAAGTTGAGCATAAAATGCATACAATTTTGGTATTGTAGGTAACTTACCTTGCAACAATGGTAACAAGTTCAGATTTCAATGCTGTATTTGGATACTCAACTTTCTGTTCGGTTAACCAATTTTGAATTTCAGCCTTGGAAGACGAACTATTAGGTGTCTTCGTTAATAACATGCTGTGGTAAGGAGCATTGTCTATAACAATGACAGATGGTTCAGTCAAGTTCTTCAGCAGCTGATTTTCGAACCAACGTACAAAGTTTTGCTGATTCATTTCCCCATGATAGTCGTTAAGTTGAGTTTTCGATGAAAATACGAGCGATGCACCTTCAATCAATCCATTTTCATTGCCAGCATGAAGTATGATATATCTAAAAAAAGCATTTAATTTGTACATCTCATACAACTGCTCTCTGTATTCATGTTTATATTCACCTTTTACCATCAACTTTCGTAGTTTTAACACGTCGCTTGTTATTGTCTTGTCAAGAGCGATTAATGGTACCATTTTGAAACAATCAAGTCTCGTCCAAGAAAACAAACTGGTACAAAGCTCTACAAAGCCTCCTGTTTCAGTCTTAGATAAGACCTCAAAAATGATATGCGTTTACCAGCAATATCAGGAAGTTCCATCGTATAGCACTGCTATCGAGCTTTGAAACATCACAGACTCTCTTTGAAGTGCATTGTTTCTTAGAAGGCGATTCCAAAACTTCGTTATTTTTGATTGCCTTTGAAATAGCACAGACAGTGGACATACTTTGTATAATATAATTAAAGTTAGGCCTACGTGCGAATGTTGTCATGGTGTCAGGTAGATTAGATTGAGCCCTGTAAAAGAAGTTTTGAACCCCGGAGAACCATGGAGTCTATGTTTAAACCGCCAGAACCCTTAAGCATTCAAGGTAATCTAGCGGATAACTGGAAAAAATTTGAACAAAGATTCGATTTGTTCATGACTGCTACGGATTTGGATACTAAAGACGTGAAAAAGCAAATTGCTGTATTTTTGAGCCTCATTGGCGAGGAAGGATTAGATATCTACAACTCGTTTACTTTGACAGACGAGGAGAAGAAGTCCCTAAAGGAAATTAAGAAGAAGTTTATGGAGCACTGTGCCCCCCAGAAAAATGTTATTTATGAGAGGTTTGTTTTCAATTCTATGGTACAAAAAGAGGGCCAAAGTTTTGACAGTTTTGTGACAGACCTCAAAATTGCTGTTAAAACTACGGAGTATTCTGAACCACTAGAAATGGTAAGGGACCGCATAGTAATAGGAATTCTTGATAAATCTATCCAGGAAAGGCTTCTTCGTGAGAAGGACCTTACTTTGCAGAAAGCTATACATTTTTGTAGGGCCACTGAGGCAAGCAAATCTCAAGCAAAGGCTCTGCAATCAGAAGCTTTTGTGAGCGCTGTCAAGACCCAAAAAAAGTTAGAAAGAAATAAAGTGCCCAATAGTCTGGAGAGGAAAAAGTGTGATTATTGTGGCTATAATCATAATAAAGGAAAATGCCCTGCGTTTGGGAAAGTCTGCGGGGAATGTAACGGCAAAAATCATTTTGCTAGTGTGTGTTGGAGAAAGGAGCATGGAAAAGAGGCTTATGGAAGCTACGGTAACAAGAAAGGAAAAAGGGTAAGTGAAGTGAAAGCGGAGGACAATTCTGTAGATGAAAGTGAGAGCAGTGAAGGCGATGATTTTTATGTAAGTTCCCTAGTGAAAAGGGTTGATGGTATTCAGTCCAACAGTGAATTTATGTGGTGCAATCAGATAAAAGTTGAAGGTAAATTGATTGAGTTTAAACTTGATACTGGAGCAGAGGTGAGCGTGATTCCTGTTAGAAATTTAGAAAAAATTAACAGGCATTTTAAATTAAAAAAGTCTAATATGACTTTAATTTCTTATGGCAGCCCAGATTTTAAAATTAAACCACTTGGAGAAATTTATTTAAATTGTGAAATTAGGGATAAATTCGCTTGCTTGTCTTTTGTTGTGGTTGATAGTAGAAATCAGTTGCCTTTGTTAGGATTGAAAGGATGTTTAGCTTTAGACTTAATTAGGAGAATTGATAATTGTAGTTTACATTTTGACAATAAACAGGATATTGTGAAAATGTATCCTCAAGTTTTTAATGGATTAGGCTGTTTTCCAAATGAGCATAAGATCATTTTGAAACAAGGTTATATACCACATATTCAGGCAGTCACGCGTATACCTCAAGCACTTCACCAGCGTGTGAAACAAAAATTAAAAAATCTTGAAGCTCAAGGGA